CTGACAGACAAAATACCAACAGAAATAGATTTCTTAAAAATCTTAAAAATAAAATAAATAATATAACAACTATATTACAAATATAATTACTTAAAGCTAGAAAGGATAGGAAGTTGTGGAGAGCCATGATTGGCTAGATCTTGAAGGGGCACAACATATAAAAAAGTTTTTGTGTGGTTTATGTCAAATATAGTTAATGTAAAAATTATCTCTTTGATTAATCTATCTGGAGGGGGTGCATTTCATAAAAAAATTTCAAATACCCACATGTAGTAGATTTAGTTTTATTGGATTTTTCATTAATGCAATAAAAACAAACATAATAAAAATGGACAAGTGGAAACAATAACTACAATAGTTGGCAATACGGAAAGAAGAGAAAGATGAAAAGAGAAAAAATATAATAGAATGAGCTAGCCGGTCATTGCTCTTCACTCATCAGAATTTGATCAAAGAAATTAAAATATTGTGCACAGTGACTAAAAAAAAGGGAAACATGAAGAAAGAAAAAGTGCATGTATCAATAATATATTGATGTGGGTATATCTATAGATAGATAGATAGATAGATCCCACTAAGTCCTAACAAACCAATCCTTTTGTATTTGTAAGGATGGTTGTCTTGATTTAACATAAATTGTTTCAAGGACTTTCAAGTAATAGTTGGAAATGTGATCAGTTTTGAGTGAATTACATTCTGATTTTCACTTTTTTTCAAGTTGTGATTTTCTGATGACTGGAAAATAAAGTCAAAGAAAAAAGTCACAAAACAAATTTTCAGAGGAAAAAAAAATTTCAGAGGAAAAAATCACAAAACACATTTTCAGAGGAAAAAAATCACAAAACACATTTTCAGAGGAAAAAAATCACAAAACACATTTTCAGAGGAAAAAGTCATGGAACAAAAGTCAAAAGAAAAAGTCATGGAACAAAGTTCAGAGGAAGAAGTAATTGAAAAACAACTTTAGTTCCTTACTAAAAAAGGTTTCAGCTCGATGTCTACTGCATATGGTTAAAGAAAAATATGAACATTCAGTTTATTTAACCAAAAGGACAATTTAAGTGTTCATTTTAACATTATATATTAAATTGAATCCTTCCTAAAAACTTGAATTTTAGAACTTTTAAAAAGTAACATGCTAAAATCAGGCCCCAGTATCTCAAGGTATACAATGAATTTTTAAAAAAGTTAAATCTTTCTTGAAGTTTTAATTTAGTTTTAATTTCAAACTAATAGATTAAATTTAACATTTCCAATAAGTAAAATATTTTGCTGTATTTCAAAACTAATTTAAATTGATTGGAAGAGTTCTATGTTTTAGAAAATTGAAAAAAAAAAAAACCCTGATTTTAGTCCTCTGTCAGCACAATGTAATTCTCTTTATTAAAAAATCTTTCAAAGATAGAATATAACTTTCTGAAACTTTCTTTGAGGAATATTAGCTGATTTAAACTTTAATTAATCTGATTTGAAACAAATATTATTTTTAGTTTAAAATATCACAGAAATGCATTTTTAACATGGAAGTGCTTTTATGAAGTGTTGAAAGCTTTATCGACAGCTGGAAATTTACATAATTTTTTCTATAGGGGACATATATTCGACAAGTAATTTTTACAGATAACATGAATGCCTTTTTTATATATTTTTTTTTAACTGCGCATAATTTAATGTTTTATTGAATTTTAAATACTTTGACTTTAAATTTACTATAGTTATCACTCTTATTTTCTAAAAATATTGTGTATGGATGTCCATATTTGCAAAAATCAGCATGTTTATTATCATCATTATCATCATCAACCCCTTGACTTTTGTAATTGCAGAAGGGATCCGAATGCCGAAGCCACACTAAATCTCCTCCACAATGGTCTATCAAAGGTAGCCATCAGCAATTATGGTATAGTCATACCTTTCCATTGTTTGACAGAGTCCAACCAGTTTTTATGTTGACATCTATGTCCACCTTCAACATTTATACACACCATAAAAGGATTCAAAATACTTTTTGAAATACTAGGGGCTGCTGAATTGTAGTAAGCTTTTTCATTTATGTTTATTAAATATACTTTTACTTATCACAATATCACATAACAAACATAAATTTATACAGAATTTACTCTAGTATTTCAAGATATTTTTGTATAATTTTGGTAAATATATCTGTCAAAATGAGATGTCAGTGTTATTTTAACTTTTGCACAATTTAGAAGACAATTTATCCATCGCACTACACACATAGAGAGAGAGAGAGAGTGAGTACAAAGAAATTTTGACAAACATCAGTCAACCAGGATAATTCTAGAAGATAAAATTTATAGTAAGCAGTCTTTGTAATAATAGTGCTTGATATCAAGCGATAGTGTTAAGAATAATAAATGAAATAAATATGTAGATATAAACATATACACATTTTTTTGTTTCAAAGCGCATATAGATTCTAAGTAGAAGGCAGAGATATTCTGATCCTCAGCAGAATTACTGATCTATGCATATATGACCATGTCATTTTTGACAGGCACCATGAAACAACTGTATTGTTGCTATACTCACACAAATTATCTAAATACATGTAGTAGATAAAAAAGAAGCTAATTTATGACAGCAGAATGCCTAACCAAATGTTCTATGGCACTTGAACCTAGCATAAGCCAAAGAAACATGTCAAGGATTGTTTAAAAGAGTCTCTTGTAACCTGCTATATAGAAGATCCTAAATGGGAAACTGCTGCTTGTGATTGAAATAAGTGAAGGAATACAATTCATGAAGAATCTTCCAATGAATTGGGCAAATGTCAAGAAAGCATCTAGGAAAGGTAAAATCCTGGATCCATTAATCCACCAATTAATGTCATGAATGTAGCAGAGTATATTTCTCCAATTCAATCCTTAATCGCCACAAGAAGAGTTATATTAGTCTACCTTAAAATTATGGTCACTACTATGCTGGGAATAGCTTAACAAATGAGGTATGTCAGAAAACCTGCAGAAACCACTCTGGTCTCATTCATCACATGAGCAAACTGAACAGAATTTACAAAATAGGCTAGGCCCTGTACAAAACAACCTAGTTTGCCACATCTGCAATAAGCATGGCAAGTCCCTTGCTAGCTTCAAAAGCCATTGTTATCCTCATAAGAATTAAAACCATGGATCAAACTTGTCAGTGATTATCATACTCATTTAATAAGTTCACAGCTATCATGTATGTATTAATTTTTGTGGGAGTTAGATGTTTACCTCATGACATTTATGATTGTCTTTAAATCTTGAAATTTTAGTATGATTCATGTTTGTATTAAAACATTTGATGCATTATATACTGAAGACATGGTAGATATGATAAAATGTTGGAAGTGAAATGTTTGGATCTTATATTTTCTAAGTATAAATTTTAAGAATATTGGTGATATGAAAAAGATGATATAACAATATTACACATTCACTTCCAGCATTCCTCATATCTGTGATGGATTCAACATGCACTAATACACCCAATTTCTTAATACTAAATCACACTAAAATTTCAAGAATTGCACACACACACCATCAGATGATACTCACAAAAATTGATACATACATACATACATATAATGGCTGGCTACTTGTTTCTGAGCACATCTATCTGCTAGGGCAGCTAGTGAATCTCTGCTGAAGACACCTACTCAAGCACATTTGTGTTTATTCACCCACAGAGCCTACATGTGATTTATACTGTAACTATGTTGAACAGACCTTAGTTACAGTTTCTGGGAGAGAATGTATATCTGATATGATCAACAGTTTCAATATACGTATATATCAACATCATGAAATGAACACATGGCAGGTACCCATTCAATACAAGCAAAAGAAAAATAGAATTAAAAAAAAATCAAAATAACTCCATATTATTCCATTCCCAAAAAGATTTCTGATGAAGGTAAGTAAATATTGAAACATGTCAAACTTATAAAGGTTTTCCTACTTGTTCCTTATTTAATCAATTTGTATAAACTCATTTTTTTTAACTAATTTCTGTCATTAGGACTATATTAAAACATGAAAACTTATAATTATTCTGCAAAAGACCTGAAAAATTAATCTATAATGGTAGATGTGTTAAAGAATCTTTGTGTAATTTAGATGACAATTTATCCATCACACCCTATATATATATATATATATATATATATATATATATATATATATTTTGGACTCTCCTGGTGTTTTCAGTATATGAGGTATTAGCAGCTCAGTTCTTAGAACCAATGGCCAGACTACCCACACATATCATTTGATTATAGTGGTGGAGGCTTGTGCAGAACCAATCACACTTTTTGGATGAGCCGAAGGAAATGGTTGTGAGAAGTTGCTGTGAATGAACCTCTTGAATTTGTGACTTATGTCTGTTGTATCTAAGTGTTAATAAAATAAAATTATTAGGAACTGAGATCAAATCTTTCCACTTCTTGGAATATTTCCCTGTATTTTGTTTATATTATATCAAAACATTTGAGCACCGAGTATTTAATAAAACAACATATTATTGTATATTATATAGTCTTGAAAGATGTTCCCTGACAATTTTTTTTACTTACTTTATCAGTACATACTTTCAATATAGATCATCTTGAGAATGGATATTATTATCATTACCCATTACCAAAAAAAAAAAAACATCATTTGGCAGGAACAAAACATTGAAACTTAAGAAAATTTAAGTTAGAGTTAAAATGAAAGGAAAGAACAAAAATAGTAGAATAAAACAAAGAGTCCCGAATGAAAAAATAAATTAATTAAAATAAATAAAAATTAACCAAACACAAACATTGAAATTAAAGAAAGAAAAATTTTATATATATATATATATATATATATATATATATATAAACAAAACATAGGAGGGTGGAAAAAATTTAGATTAGTGTTTTAATTTTTTTAAAATTTAAATTAAGACAAAATTAGTACAGATTATTTTTGTTTAGTATGCATTTTTCATACAAGTGACAGCCAACGTACATCTTCAAGATCCAGACTGCATTTTCGTCGCTTGCGTTTTCTCATGGCAGGAGGAGTTTCGGGTGGAACTAAGCCCTTGGCTATGGCAGCAATAAACTCATGCCTTTTACGCTGAACAATGTGGGCCTGTTCGATAATCTTCTTACGAGGTGTACGCAGATATAGTCGGTTAACTATCTGGGATAGAATTTCTGTTGATTCTTCTAACTCAGTCTGAAAAACAAAATAATGAAAACATTCATATATCATTTAAACATGACAAAATATTAGAAAAAAGTCCAAGTGCATTGAAAAATACTTTCTTCACGAATTCTACATTTTGAAGTTAACAGAAATTAACAAAAAACAAGATAGAATAAAATATTAAAAATACTGTGCCAGAGCCCTGATATATATATATATATATATATATATATATATATATATATATATATATATATAAAAGCCAACACTCAGTAATATTAACTACAAACATGGCCACAATGTGCTAACTGTGTTTCAGAAAATAAAACTTCCCTATAACTCTAGAAACAGACACACAACCCATACACCCAATTAAAAAGCAAAAATAAAATTATCCTTGATAATGGCTAAAAGGTATAGCCAAAAGTGCTCGGAATTACAGAACATTTGGACAGTTTCTACACACTGTGTCCAGAAAAGAAAATACTTGCTTGAACACAAGAGAAATTAAATAAAAATCTTAATCACAATACTTTGCTTGTTGTCTTTAATGAACATGTAACATGTATAAATGAAGGATTGCTGCCTAAATACAATATATATATATATATATATATATATATATATATAGGGGTGATGGGTAAGTTGTTGCTTTTAATTCCACATATGCACATTGTTTTTGATTTTGCCACTGCACAGTATAGTAGGGTCAGTTGGGCACTGTCTGTGAAAAAAAGAGCACCATAGCACAGTTCATTCCACCAGAAATTTGGAAATGACATGCTGTACTGTTAGGCATTTGTACCAGAAACTCCAATACAGACATTTCAGAATGTTTGGGTGTCACTACGGGGACAGTGCAGAGGATTCAGAAAGAGTTGGATGAGTCTAATGGTGATTACGAAGGTACAGTAGCTCAGAAAACTGATTCTGATAAGAAAAGAACTCCTGAATTAGTTGGTGAGAGCCTACACAAAGGCCTACAACAAGTGCCTTGGGGAGATAGTGCTGCCCTGGCTCAAGAGGGTGGCTGCTGGAAGACTATGTCTGGCAACAGGACTCTGCATTATACCACACAAGCAGGAGAATCTAATCACGGCTGTTTGCCAATTTCTGCGGCCACATCACCCCTTACATCTAGCCACCTATCTCCTCAGACTGCAACCCCCTTGAATATTATGCATGAGCAAGAGACCAACAAAATTCCTTTTAATACCAAAGATGAACTGAAGGCAAGAATTATGACAGCATTCGCCAAAATAAACAAAGAGACCATTCTGAAGAGTTGCAGGAGATTCCAAATTTGTCTGGGGGCCATGGATGAACCCAAATTCACTATTTAATATTTCAAGATATTTCTGTGTAATTTTGCTAAATCTATCTGTTAAAATGAGATATCAGTTTTATTTTCATTGTTGTGGAATTTAGATGACAATTTATCCATCACACACACACACACACACACATATATATATATATAAAGAAATATAGTCTTAAGGTTTGCTATATTTATGGAATAAAGTGCTCAATATCAGAGATAGAGTGTGTGTAAATATAAAAAGTGAACATAAGTCAACATAGAGGCGACAGTCTGTTTCATATAGCTAAACAGACAATCGTCAGGTTGACTTCTATGTTCATTTTTATATATATATATATATATATATATATATATATATATATATATATATATATATATATATTGGACTCTCCTGGTGTTTTCGGTATATAAGGGTTTAGCAGCTCAGTTCTCAGAACCAATGGCCAGACTACCCACACATATCATTTGAGATTATAGTGGTGAAGGTTTGTGCAGAACAAATCATACTTTTTGGATGAGCCGAATACAGAGAACTGGTGCATAGTATGCCACAAAGTCCCCAAATGACCCTCTGCCGGTTTTTGACTGGAATTCAAACACAGTTTCTCAGTTCAAGCCACAATCGATTACTCCACCATCCCTCCACACACATATATATCTCTTTCTTAATGGAAGTTTTCACTCTGAGGACTTGTAACATTGAAAACTAAAAAACAACAAAAGTCCCTATCTGAGAAATCATTTCTGGCTCAATATTAAAAATCAGCTCAGCATTAAATCAAAAAATGAAATTGTTTTTCAGCCAATGAAAAGTTAAAAAAAGAAATAAACAGATCTATCTGGATCACTTTTATGAAAGCCAATCTTATAAGAAAGACAATTAAGGGCACAACATTTTTTATACTAATGTTTACCCAATACAAGACCCAAGAGCCACTAAAGGTAGAAGGTTACTATGTGGTGTTCTATGAGCATAAGAAAGAGCAAGAAGTGAAGTTCATGGGGCCATATAAGAAAGATAACAGTTAACATTAGACTTGAAGAGATCAAGATTGTAGTGGTTGGGAAAACATCCTGTCAAGAGTCTGTTCCACAAAGCAGCAATTCTTGAGAAGAAGCTGTTCGAATGGAACTTATTTCTTACTATTGGAATACAAAAGGAATGGGAATGATTCACCCTTGTGTACATGGCATGGTGGGTCCAAGTTGAGAAAAAGGTCAGGGGTGGTGGGACTAAGGAATGTAGTTTGTCAGAACACAGGCCATAGAAGTAGCAATAGATCAGTGAGAGGCTCATAACATTTCATCTGAGGGAAAGGATTTGTGGGGTGGAAAATAATTCATCACCCACAAGACTTGCATAGATACTTTTGAACTCTATCAAGATAGGTAAGTGATGACTATGTTATAAAATAAAATAAGACATATCTCGGCTGATTTACAGGCAAATAAACTAGCATACTCAAGAGCGAGAGCCGGATGTGAACGGGACAAGGCCCCGTCACAAAATGACCATTATCTTCGTTTACGCATGTTCCCGACGTATGAGTTCCGGTCGAAAAATAAAATAATATTTTAAAGTGTTTCTATTTTTCGACCAATAAAAATGCTTCCCTCCTAATTATACTCGCGTTGTTTTTCGAGCCTGTTAAGCCATAAAAAAACGCCATAAAAGGGGTCACACAGAAGTACAATGAGGAGTCAACAGAGGTCAGGGAAGAGACCTGTCACAATCAGACTAAGCGGTCGGCAGCAGTCAGCAGGAGGAGCGCTACCCAACCAGTGAGAACTACTATGAGAGATCAAACCAGATCTGGAGCCGGCTTATGAACAATACCACAAGGTAGCTGTCCAAATCCCACACGTTCCTGTTGAAATAAATCACGTAAATCTATTTCTGCTGTTGCTGTATTTCTTTCTTGCAACCATACGCTTGTCTATAACAACTAGGCAGCTCCACCTCAGATATACTTTATTTTGATCTGATATGGTTCTTGTAAAGAGAGTACAAGCAGGAGGAGAAAAAAACAGCATATAATTCAGTGATGAAGGAAGGATATAGTATTCTCATAGGGTTCATTATATTAACTTATGCATAAATACCTTTGAGAAGGGTATGAATACACATATTCTCCCCCAGCTACAAGTTAATTAGTAAAACTTTTATCACCAAATCATCATTATCCACTACCCTGCCAAAAAAAGAAAAAAAAAGAAAAAAAATCCTACAATCTGAAAATATTTTCTGGTTCTAAATAGCCTGCAAAGGATTGATAGACTGTAAAAAATGAATGAATCAATAAAACAAAATGCTACTTAAAACAATTATTAATAAATTTTCAAATTCAAGCTTTTCCAGAGAAGAATATATGAGTATTTCAAGAGACAAACCTGTGAGGTTATATAGAAAATGTCATCAATTCCAATTGCAACAACATTTAATATGTACATAACTTTATGTGACAAAGTGGAAAAGCTTTTCAATGATGTGTTTTGACATCACATGCTAGGTTGGAGTCTTCAGGTCAGAAAAAGGACAAAACTGTGATTTTTTTTGTCTTTATATTAAAACTGTTAATGTGTTTTTGCTACATTGGCATCTTCTAGCCAGAATGAAAGAACCAAATTGCATGCTTTTTGTATTAAAGCCATTAATGTTTGTTTACAAAATAATCACACAGTTTTGTCCTTTCATTCTGAACAGAAGATGTCAATTGTAAACAGACATTAACAGCTTTAATAAAAAAAAAAGAAAAAAACAACAACAACACAGTTTTGTCTTTGATTCTGACCTGCAGATTAATACTGAGCACATGAAGGTGAAACACATTGTCATTAAAAAGCTTGTCCACTTTGTCTTATTTCTCTCCTTTTGTTTGGATTCTTTAAGCTACTAATATACATAATTTTATATATAATATTTTTTATATTTCATAGTTTTATCCAACCCATTTCGCAACAGTTAAACCATCAGGCTACAAATAAAACACTAGCAGGATTGCTGATCTTAATATAGATATTTCAGGTTTTACAAGCAAGTATGGAAAAATTCTTGGCCTATCAATCAGTCAGTTAAGCACTATACGTGATACATGCTTGGGTGATCATGTGTCTTTCAATTCATGACTGGCGAGGTAGAAGATTTCCCTACAGTAGTATGTTGCTTCTTTCTGTGGTAGCTTGGTTGCCAACTAAAGCTATAGGACTCTGTCCTGATATTCAACCCATACCTGGGGGGGGATTCCTACCTTTTCCAAGAGTATTTGTACATAAGTGAAGGCAACACACCTGACTAGCCCATAAAGGTTTAACAAAAAAAAAAAAAAAAAAAAAAAACAATGTTTGGTCATTTTGCAAGATTTTGTGTTGAGCCGAGAACTTTTCAGCATCCCTTGTATCTAGATTATTCATTATATAAATGTAATTAAAATAATAATTCTAGAAACAAAAACATTGAACATTAGTCAAAAATGAAAACTGCTGAAAGGATGGTAACATTTGACAGTCTTACCTGCATACATTCGAAGACAATTTTCTTATAACCAGGTCCATCAAGGTAGTAGGCATACACATAGGAACACTTCAGCACACATCTTGCCTTCAGCAGTTGATGGACGGCATCTTCCACAAACTTTGTTTCTGATTTGGCAGACGCTTCAAGAGAATAAAAAGAAAAAGAAATTTGGTATTTTTATAGCAACATCATCTGACATGCTTGATACTTTAATAAAAAAAATATAATATCAGAAAGTATGTAATTATTATTCAAATTAAAGTAAATAATTTGAAAAGTTAAAATCAATGTTGAAATAATATTTTATACAGTATATAACTCCTGCAGGCTGAGAAGAGTTGTTTCCCTTTAATCTTCTAATGAACTAAGTAATCTGAGTTAATAAAATTCTCATAGAGCCGTTCATTTCTTTTTAGATTTCTGGCTTAAATATTTATTAAATCAGTTTTTCTATCTTCAAACATTTAAGAATGTATTTGTCTTAAATTTGAAAATAATGCATAAAACTGTTTAATTAGTTTTCCTAATGCAACTCACTAAAAAGAATATTTCTTTACAGAGATCCCTAACAATAAACTAACTGTAGATTTCAATTGGCTGGGAATGACTGCTAAAAATATTCCCACCCAAAACTTATAGACAGATCCTACAGATGCATGCTGGGACTTCTTCCCAGCCAATAAGGTAGACCACTTTTTGGTCTCATCTGCCATATTTTTGTTCTAGTTTTGTGTGTTAACACCATTCTTACTTTGTGAACTTTCTGCCTTATTACTGTTGCTTTGCCTACTTTTGTCTTTTGTCATTATAGTTCAAAAGTTTGAAGCCACCCCCAGAATTAGCATGGGATGAATTTGACAGAAGGGTGAAACCTTTCCATCCAAAAAATGAAAAATAGCTCTTAGAGTCATTGAAAAAAAGAATGGAATCAATTATCAAACTTATACTTTGAGAAACTTTTGCAATGAATGCCAAAAATTTGTACGGCAGTAAATCAAGGCTAAAAGAGGATATTTTGATGAGAGCAAAATTAAATCATAAAAGGCTTTTTTCCTTTTTGTCATAATAAAATTTCAAATAAAAAATCATGTCTCACTTCTTTTTTTTTTTTAACCATGTATAATAATTTTCTCTTATTTAAAGTACAAAACAATTACTTTTTGGGCCAATTTAAAAAATTACCAAGAGTATCCTCAAACTTTTGAACTGTAGTGTATATTGCTTTCTTAGTATTATTTTGCCGTTCTTTTTCTTTCTTTCATTACCGTTTATTGGAAACTTTGTTAATTCCATTTGTTCGACATTTCTGCCAATTTCACTTAACCATGGATAATTACTCTGCGCTAAAAGATATCCCTAACAAAAACAAAAATTGCAAACAGCTGCAAATGATATCATCCACATGGTCAAAACATGCTTTAAATTTATGTGCTAATCAAAAATACCAAGATGAAAAAATAAGCCAACATTTTCTTGAATTTCAAAAGTATTTCATAATTATGTATTCAAAAATGGCCAAGATTTAAAAGTATACAGAGACAAGTTTGACAGTAAACATCTGTTACCTTTTTTTAAGAAAACAAAAATCACAAAAACCTATTAAGAAATATTTTGTAAGTGGCCATTAATAAAATCATCTGAAATTAAAAGATTACAGCCAAAGGCACTTTATTTAAATATTGACCAATTAATCTTAGTAAGGAAATTGATAAGAATAATATTGTGTTGATGCACATGTTTATAATTATTATGTGTATCTTAATGAAATATTACATGTAATCTGAGCATTACTCAGACTTATCAAATTAGTAATATGACAGAATGTGATCTGGTGGAGATAGCAGAGGGAAGGGACTTGTTGAGAGCTGCAAGGGAAAGAGGGAGGTGGAAAGCCATGATCGTCTATGAAAGGACATGGCACATAAAAAGAAAGAAAAGAATTATGGACATTTAAAAAAAAAAAAAGAAACACTATAAAAATCATAACTTATATGAAATGAAATTGAGTGCGTGTGTATGAGAGAGAAAGAGAAAAAGAAAGAGAATATAATTATATCGTTTGCAATTTCCTATAATTATAAGGGAAGAATACTCAATGTCAGAGATTGAGTATTTGTAGATAAAAACAGTGTGAACATAGAAATGAACACTGCATAGTAACTGGTAGTTTTCCAATTTGATGATCATTTAAGGCATAAAACTTTAAAAAAACTTTCTGCCTTATTAATGTTGATTTGCCTACTTTTATTTTTTGTCATTACAGTTCAAACGTTTGAAGCCATCTCCAGAATTAGCATGGGATGAATCTGATTGTCACTATGCAATGTTGATTTCTATGTCCACACTGCTATATATATATATATATATATATATATATATATATAGAGAGAGAGAGAGAGAGAGAGATAGAGAGAGAGAGAGAGAGAGAGCACAGTTTTTAAAAATAAAACAAAAAATACTAAAGAACTTCGGATTATTAACCTAACAGTTCTTCCCTATTTTTCTATATAATCGCACACACACATATATATATGTATATACATACATACATACATACATACATACACACACACTACTACTAGTAGTAGTAATAGTAATCAAAACAGCATAAAAACAAAATACATCTTAAACAGTCAAAACATTTCCTAATAAAATGTTAGGAAATCAATTGATTGAAATCGCCTTAAGATACTGAAAGGTTGAAACCAAAGTAGCAGATATATATATATATATATATATATATATATATATATATATATATATATAGCTTTTTTGTTAAATATGAGGGTTGAGGAATACTTTGTAAGTCTTTTATTAAATTTTTCTTGTGTTCTTGCAATTTGTCTTTTTTGATGGCAGTGTGAACAAAACAAAAATAAATACATTAACAATCTTTATTACCCCCACCCCTGTTGAAAATGGCTAAAGCATTCAGCACATTTTCTATGAACAATTTCTCCACATACTCACACTTGCATAAAAGGAGAACTAGTGCCCGTGTGTGTGTGTGTGTGTGTATCTGTAAAATATGCTCACACACACACACAATAGTGTACTGCACTTATTGGTATATCCACTCCACTCATTTTCCACATAAAATAAATTTAAAAAAATTATCTTCCAGGTTTTGTATGTAAAATCAAGGTATCTGGCAGGTTGATGTTTACTCAGACTACCAATGCCTAATCTTCCTCCATAATACTGTAATATTAAATATGAATTGTGTGTGTGTGGAGGGGAATCTTATGTTATTAAATATAGTAAATTAGTGCATTCAAATGTACCAGACTGGAAAGATTTTCACTAAAGTTGTTCTCTTTATTCAATGTTGAAATACAAACTGGAAGATGCTATAACCAGTAGAGTGTAGAGAGAATAAATGACAAAAAATTATAAGCTTTTTTGTTTCTGAACAAGTTTAAAAGGATTGATTCCTTCAAAAATTTTGCAATTCTGATAAAGACCTGAACAGTTTTCAATAGAACTTCAAAATGTAAAAAAAAAAATCATGCCACTTCACAATGCTGCTAAAGACCTGAAATTACAAAAAAAAAAATCTTTTTTTTTAAATAGATTTTTTTTAAATAAATAGATTTTTTTAAATAGAATTTAAATAGATTTTTTAAAATAGAATTTAAATAGATTTTTTTAAATAGATTTTTTTAAACAGAATTTTTTAAATAGATTTTTTTAAATAGAATTTAAATAGATTTTTTTAAATAGAATTTAAATAGATTTTTTTAAATAGAATTTAAATAGATTTTTTTAAATAGAATTTAAATAGATTTTTTAAATAGATTTTAAATAGATTTTTTACTATACAAATTGAACAGAGTTAGAAAGAGTAATTTCTGTATTAACAAAACAGTTTAGTTTTTGTTTTATACCTGAATTTTTACAAAATTATGTAAGCATATAAAAGAAAAGAAAAAAATTAATACAGCATTCCTCTTCAGACAGGTCTACCATAAGAGTGTTTTAAGGTGAGGGTCTTTAAGAATTTGCACACTAAAATTAGTTCAAATCCTTTTTACAAAAGGGGGGGTGATTTCTGAAGAGAGCAACCTCCACACATTAACAGACCTGTCTTTTATTTTTGCAATATAAACTGCGTCTAGAGATTATATGCAAAAGAGGTATTGTCAAATATTTTATGTAAAATTCATAGATATGTGTTATCCAATGAAATAATTTGTACTATTATGTATAGCGAGTAAGCATGAAAGCAATTAAGTTCCAATTTTCAATTTCAGGTTGATATTTAGTATTTTTTCAGTAATTATAGCAATTTGCAGTGTCAAGAGATTATTTGCAAGAACTAGAATTTAGTATAATGACTCGTAAAAAAGAACTAACAATGAATGAAAAGAACTATATAATCAAAGAAATTAGCAAAGGAAAGTCTTCGCTTCAAATTTCTAAGGATTTGAAAAGGGATCATAGAAAAATCAAGAAAATATGCCAAATGGGAATTCAACCAAGGAAAAAAAAAGTCTCAGGCTGAATTCAGGAATTTAATTACCAAGCGAGATCTATCACATATCCAAAGAGAATTAATAAGAAACCCAAATGCATTAAGTGTGTTCATATTTGAGGCCGCTGGAGCTCCTATGGTGTCAAGGGAAACAAGGTGTAAAGAATTAAGAAAGTTTGCTGATGTAAAATATCAAATAAAGAAACCCATTTTAACAAAAAAACATAAGGAAAGAAGATTGCAGTGGGCAAAAAAATACATGAAAACTGATTTCAGTAAAGTGCTTCTTACAGACGAATCAAGGATCACCCTCGATGAGCCCGATGGATGGACTCGAGGATGGGTTTGCTAGCAACATGGCTCAAGAAAATTTTTTAAATGCCAACAAGGCAGCGGTGGGGTCATGATATGGGCTGGGATTATTGGTAATGAGCTCATGGGTCCATTTAAACTGAAAGACGGGGTTAAAATGAATTCAAAAGTTACTGTGATTTTCTAGAGCAATATTTCTTTCAATGGCTTGATAACCAGTCTTTAGCCAAGCCGTAGATCTATGATCTTTATGCAAGACAACACACCAAGTCATGCATCAAAGTTTACTAAATCCTGGTTGAAAGAAAAGGGATTTGTTGAAGATTCTCTTATGGAATGGCCTTCAAATAGCTGTGACTTGACTCCCATTGAGAACCTGTGGAGCATCCTCAAGAGAGATATTTATTCTAATGGAAGGCAATTCAACAGCAAGTGTGACCTCTGGGAGGCAGTTAAAGTTGCTGCAAACAACTTACCAGCTGCTAAAATTGCAAATCTAACATCAGATGTTGACAATAGAAAGGAGCATTTGTGCAATAAATTTTAGGAGGTTCTTATTTTTTTGTTAATATATCTTTTATTTTTGAAATAAAATATTTTTTATGTTTTTCTTTTAAGAAATTGACGAATTTGTTCTAAAATCTTTTCATATTATATTTTTTACATTAGTTTTACAAGGTATAATAATGTAAAAGTATCAAAATAAATAGTTGCAAATAAACTACTGACAGTCAAATTAGTCTGTTTTGTTAACTTAAAAATAGCAACTTACCATGATCTATGATAGCTTCAGCTAGCTTCATCATTTTTTCCTTAGCAGTTCTCAGGAGGGGTTCTTCAAGCTGAGTTAAAAAGAACAAATATTATTATACCAATATTTCATGGTCAAAAGATGAAATTCATTTATCAGTTAACAAACATCACCATTTCAAATTTGCTTCTATGTCTAATAGAGATAAGTAGAATGCTCTGGACATATTTTTTTTTTTTTTTTTACCTAAATAGATTTAGTCATTGGAAATCTCAATTTTAATGCTTTCCAATCTATTCTTTCTCAGAATCCTTAAATTATAATCACTTTCATTAACTGACATTTACATGTATAAAAGCCAGTGCCCATTACTTTGTTTTCATTACTAATATGCGATGACTTCCTGCTTAAATCTGTGTTTCATGAGACAGCTGAATTGTAGAGGACTGATATTAGTAAAACCTGATATTACCCACTATGGCAAAAATATATTCCCAATAGTAAATCACTGCCATATGATGGTGAAAATAATAATAATAGTAGTAGTGGTGGTGGTGGTGGTGGTGTTAGCCAGTATGCAAAAAATGTTGATATAATGTCACAGAAGATAAACTGTCTGTAGTTGATTTTATTTGCATATTTTGGGATAAATTGGATTTTAATATAATTCAATTCTGATTATTTACAAATTTTGATTAAATATTCTTTTTTTTAATATTTCATAGAATAAGCTATAATTAGAATATTACAAATACAACATTTATGAAACCATATAAAAATATCTTTAAAATACCACGTCTGTATTTCGGAAGTCATTATTTGAGAATAACTAACCTATATCCTTCTGACATCAGTTTAAACTGATGCCTTCTTTTACTGATATATCTAAATTATAATTCTAAACTATAATCTTGGAGTGTGAAAATTTCACTGAAATATATTGGAAAATTCTCAAGTTTCCATATGAAATCTACAAACTTTAAGCAAAATGATCACAATATATGGAAAAAAGAATATGTCAGTTTAAATTGAATGATATAGGTTAAAGCATTCTGTAATTACTATTGAATAAAATGGATAAGACTACATCAACTAAAATAACTTGAAGCTAACATCTGAAGGTAAATAGAGTTTATCAAAACACTGAAATCAAATAATACAAACCTTGTAACTATTTTCATGGTTTTTGAATCGAGTGTAGAAATGGACAAAACGATTTAGTTCTTGCATTTGAGTATTTCGTGCCTGCGCCTGTGAATATAAAAAATCAAGTTAGAAAATCAGTATAAATACAAGAGATTATTTTTATTTTAATATTAAATGGCTTCTTCATGTTTGAAAATGTTTAAAACTTCATATCAATCAGGACAATGTCAATACATGAAGAAAGAAAAGCATTTATAAGAATTTACAAGGATGGATCAATAAGTCTGAGAGTTGAAGATTGATCTGAAATTTTCATTGTATAATGTACAATCTATATTATTAATTAACCACTGATACAAGTTCATTGATGAATAAGGAGATTAGATTGATAAAAATATTGTACAAAATAAATGCTTTTTTATTATTAGTAGTGGTGTAACTAGAGTGTCTGCCATTTGAGGCAGCCCTTGAATTTACTGCCCCTACCCACCACAAAAAATACACCATATTGATATATATTAATTAGTTTATTGCAGTTCTTTTTATTGCTATTGCCTCAAAATGTTATGGAAGAGTGGTTTATGGAAATATTCAGTTACTTGACATTTAGACTATTAGATGCATTGGCTTCCTCAGTCATTCTGTGTGGCTGTGAATCTTGGAGATTAACAGCAAAATTACAGCAAAGAACTGAAGCATTAGAAATGATATACTACAGAATCATAGATTGCATTATAAATGACACAGGGCAAGGCAGCATCAGACAAGAATCAGGCCCATTAGAAGACATCATAACCACTGCTAAGAAGAGAAAGTTAAAATGGTATGGACACCTCATAATCTTTATTTTTTTTTTTTTAAATCAATTCACCCCAAGCAAAGTGATAATGCCTCTAAAACTCCTGTCACAAAAACAAAGTAAATGATTCAAGGGAAATAACTGTGGATTTCAAATATGATGCTACCGGCAAAACATTGAACATATTCAGGTGGAAGGATTTGAAAAGAGAAAATTTGACTAAATAATTCACCTCCACAGTGAACATTGTGTGAAATAATTTTAATATGCTAAATTTTATTTGCACTCCTTTTTTCTTCTGTTAAAAAAAGAAAAAAGTTAAAGAAAGAAAAGAAAAAAGAGAAAGAAAAAAGAATGAAAAGAAAAAAGAAAAAGAAAAAAGAATGAAAAGAAAAAAGAGAAAGACAAAGAAAAAAGAAAGAAAAGAGAAAGACAAAGAAAAAAAGAAAGAAAAGAGAAGACAAAGAAAAAAAGAAAGAAAAGAAAAGACAAAGAAAAAAAGAAAGAAAAGAAAAGACAAAGAAAAAAAGAAAGAAAAGAAAAAGAAAAAAAAAGAAAAGAAAAGACAAAAAAAAAGAAAGAAAAGAAAAGAAAAAAAAGAAAAGAAAGAAAAGAAAAAGAAAAGAAAAGACAAAAAAAAAGAAAAGAAAAGAAAAAAGAAAGAAAGAAAAGACAAAGAAAAAAGAAAGAAAAGACAGAGAAAAAAGAAAGAAAAGACAGAGAAAAAAGAAAGAAAGAAAAAGACAAAGAAAAAAGAAAGAAAGAAAAGACAAAGAAAAAAGAAAGAAAAGACAAAGAAAAAAGAAAGAAAAGACAAGGAAAAAAGAAAGAAAAGACAAGGAAAAAAGAAAGAAAAGACAAAGAAAAAAGAAAGAAAAGACAAAGAAAAAAGAAAGAAAAAGAAAGAAAAGACAAAGAAAAAAGAAAGACAAAGAAAAAAGAAAGAAAAAGACAAAGAAAAAAGAAAGACAAAGAAAAAAGAAAGAAAAGACAAAGAAAAGAAAAGACAAAGAAAAAAGAAAGAAAAGACAAAGAAAAAGAAAAGAAAGAAAAGACAAAGAAAAAGAAAAGAAAGAAAAGAAAAGAAAAGAAAAGAAAGAAAAGAAAGAAAAAAAGAAAAAGAAAAGACAAAGAAAAAAAGAAAGAAAAGAAAAAAAGAAAAGAAAAGAAAAGACAAAAAAAAGAAAGAAAAAAAAAAAGAAAGACAAAGAAAAAGAAAAAAAAAAGAAAAAGAAAAAAAAGAAAGAAAAAGACAAAAAAAAAAGAAAAGAAAGAGAAAAAGAAAGAAAAAGAAAAAGAAAAAAGAAAAAAAAAGAAAAAGAAAAAAAAGAAAAGAAAAGAAAAAAAGAAAAAAGAAAGAAAAAAGAAAGAAAAGAAAGACAAAAAGAAAGAAAAGACAAGAAAAAAAGAAAGAAAAGACAAAGAAAAAAGAAAGAAAAGACAAAGAAAAGAAAGAAAGAAAGAAAGACAAAAAAAAGAAAAGAAAAAAAAGAAAGAAAAAGACAAAGAAAAAAAGAAAAGACAAAGAAAAAAGAAAGAAAAAAAAAAAAGAAAAGAAAAGACAAAGAAAAAAAGAAAGAAAAGACAAAAGAAAAGAAAAGAAAAAAAAAGACAAAGAAAAGAAAAAAAGAAAAGACAAAGAAAAGAAAAGAAAGACAAAAAAAAGAAAAGAAAGAAAAAAGAAAAAGAAAGAAAAAAGACAAAGAAAGAAAAAAAAAGAAAAGACAAAGAAAAAGAAAGAAAAGAAAAAAGAAAGAAAAGACAAAGAAAAAGAAAAAAAAGAAAAAGAAAAAGAAAGAAAAGACAAAAAAAAAGAAAGAAAAGACAAAGAAAAAAAAGAAAAGACAAAAGAAAAGAAAGAAAGAAAAAGAAAAAAAAGAAAAGAAAAAAAAAAAAGACAAAGAAAAAAGAAAGAAATGACAAAGAAAAAAGAAAGAAAAGACAAAGAAAAAAGAAAGAAAAGACAAAGAAAAAAGAAAGAAAAGAAAAGACAAAGAAAAAAAAGAAAAGACAAAGAAAAAAGAAAAAGAAAAGACAAAGAAAAAAGAAAAAGAAAAGACAAAGAAAAAAGAAAAAGAAAAGACAAAGAAAAAAGAAAAAGAAAAGACAAAGAAAAAAGAAAAAGAAAAGACAAAGAAAAAAGAAAGAAAAGAAAAAACAAAGAAGAAAAAAGAAAAGAAAAAACAAAGAAAAAAGAAAAGAAAAAAGAAAAGACAAAGAAAAAAAGAAAGAAAAGAAATAAAAAAAGAAAAGAAAAAAGAAGGAAAAAATAAAGAATAAAAGGTTACACAGATTGACAAGCAACAGATGAAAGAATGCACATCAGCCAAAACATTGTGATAAGAGCAACAAAGCAATAGTTTCACATGTAAATAATAACTTGTCATTCCAGAAATTCAAATAAAAAAGTCATTTCTCTTATTGAAATTACACTGAGTTAACTACAGTCAACAATGAAATTATTTGTACACCAATCAATTTTTAATATTTTTATTCATTTCTCAGAATCTAATGCCTGTATGATGCCAGTTTTTTTATATGTTAATAAGCACAAGAAAGGAATATAAAATTCAATTTTCAGAACAATAAGTTAAATACAACAAATTTGACAGGCCAATTATGCAAAATATAAAGAGACAAAATTATTTGTACAATAGAAAATATTGTTTTAAATTGATTGAATCGTGTAAATATAAGCAAATTACATCATTATTTTATCAGTGAAGTTGTGTAGACTATTTATTCAGTAGAATATTTGTGATAATTCCAACAAAGAACATTATGTCATGCATAGAGTGTCACCATTGTTATTCTTACATTAACAACATGATTGGGAAGACAAAGGAGCTTAGCATTGACTTGAGACAGAGAATTATTTACTTTCACAAGTCGGGAAATAGTTACAGCACTATTTCAAACCAGTTAGCTATCCCTAGAAAGTAAAGCTACAGTACCATCCATTAAAAAGAGAATTTGCTGGGCATGGAAGAAAACCTAAATTTTCACAGAGAACTGCATGAAAACTGTGTCATGAGGTTAATATAAACCTAAGAGTTGTTTTGAAAGATGTCACCAAAAGTTTGGATACAATATTGTTTAAATAGAAATAGGTTGTATGGAAACAGACCACAAAGAAACCCCTCTTCACAAACCATGTCACATTATTGCTCAATTTAATTTTGCCAAAAGAAAATTGCTTTTGGGAACAAGTACTATAGAGTGATGAAACAAAGTTTGAGCTTTTTGGACCTAATGATTTACAGAAGATTTGGTGCAAGAAGGGTGAGGCTTTCCTCCCAAAGAACACAGTGGTAATATTAAAACATGGAGGTGGATTGATGATATTTTGGGTTTGGTTTAGCTCAAGGGGGACTGGACAATTAATTGCAATAAGAGGAATAATGAAATCTGCAGACTATATCAAAATTCTGGATGAAAATCTACAACTATCAGCACAAAATCTTCATCTAGGTCGGTGATTTGCTTTCCAGCAAGACAATGATCCCCAATATATGTCTAAATCAATGACTGTGTAGCTTCAGAAAAATAAGATTACATTTCTACCATGGCCATCAATGAGTCCTGACTTGAATCCTATTGAAAATCTATGGTAAGAATTGAAAGTTCAAATAAATTGTCGGTCACCAAAAACCTTCAGGAATTAGAATGTGTAGCCATTGAAGAATGGAAAAAAATCCCAGAAAAGACTTGTTCAAATCTCATCAAAAACTTTAGAAAACAATTGCAGCAGCTTATAAACATGAGAGGCTATGCTATTGACAATATTGTAAAAATTTTTCAATTTTTTCTATTTTTCATACTGGACAAATAATTTTCTCTTCCTATTTTGCAGAATTCGCCTGTCAAATTTGTTGCATTTAACCTATTGTTCTGAAAATTGAGTTTTATATTTCTTTTTTTGTGTTATTAACATATAAAAAAAACCTGGCATTATATGTGCATTAGATTCTAAGGAATGGATAGAAATATTCAAAATCGATTGATTTGGTTTGTTTTACAGCATATCAACCTCAGTGGGTCATTTAATGCCAACAACTTTTCTTTTTTTTTCTGGTAATATTTTTGTTTTGTCAAAAATCTATTTCTGTTAATACTTTTTTCCTCAAAAATGTATAGCTGGTAATATTATTTTTTCAAAAACGTATAAATGGTAATATCTTTTCAAAAACATATAGCTGGTAATATTATTTTTTCAAAAACATATTGCTGGTAATAGTTTTTTTCAAAAACATATTGCTGGTAAATTCTTTTTTTTTTTCCTTCAAAAATTTATTTTTGGTAATGATTTTTTTACAAAGTATTTCTGGTATTAAAACCTATTTTTACACTTTTATAATGCTTTTTACCTCAGTTTCAGGGTTAACTATTTACCCATAGCTGGGACCCTAACAGGTGCTACCACCCCGGGTCAGGGTGGACCTGGGAACACAAGAAATTAAGAGGAGGTTCCACGCTCCTCAAAGCTTCCTGATCAGAGGCCTTGCCATTGGATGTAGTTTATCGTCTTACCCTGGATGCGGATGTAGTTTATTGTCATACCCAGGACGGTCAAAATTGATTGGTGTATATAGTTCCACAGGTCGTATTAGTTATGTTAACACTGGGACAAGAAGTGGCTTGTAAATTTTCATGCCAGCAAAAATGAAATCATCATAGAGAATTATTTTTGCCCACCATCAGCATGGCTAATGCTAACCTCTAGGAGAGCAACTCATTGTGCCTTCTTGGTCTCACATTTTCCACTGAAGTGGAGTGATTATATCAAATCATTAGGCTTGCTGTTAGTAAATTTGGTTCTCTGTATTGTACCAGACAATTTTTCTCGCCAGAATACATTTTGTACCATTCATCTATGCATTGAATATTGCTGTTATATCTGTGCTAGTGCTCTGGCTATTTATCTTGAGATTCTCAACAAGATTCAAAGAAATGTCTGTAATGTTATCAGTCCCAGCCTAGCATCCTGCCTTCAGTTACTTTCACCACCATGATGTGGCTTTGCTCTGTCTTTTCTATAAATATTTTTATAGCAATTGTCCCAAGTTCTCCTTCTTGGTGCCTCAACTGCATGAATTTAAGTGTTTGATCAGATTTTCAACTAGGTTTCATTGTTTTACTCTTATAGTAACTAAATGTAACCATAAGTTTTATTCTAATAGTTTCTTTTCTTGCCCGTGAAACTTCATTCTGGTTTTTTGCTTCCTTGCCAACTACAATCTTCAAAGATTTAAATGCAGCATCACTTGCAATTTCTGTTTTCTTTTATCCTGTTCTTTTATTGTCCTTTCTCCTCACTAAAGTCTTCTCATTCTCATTCACTTGCAGTAACACTTTGCATCTTAGTTTCATTATTGCTTTGCTTGGGGGTGAAATGATTTAAAATAATATAAAAAAAAAAAAAAGGATTGTTCTTTAAGTTCTGGGTATGATAGAAATAGCTTCTGTCTCAGCTCTTTGAATGAATGAAAAGGTTTTACAGTAAAGCCTTGTGTCAGAGTTGACAAGTGAATGATAAAGTGAATTCATAAAACCTTTCTCATAGAATCATCTATTTTGTTGTAATCAACCAGTAATAAACTGGACAAACAAAAATGTCATGTTAATAAATTCTGAAAGTTTGATTCCTTTGGGGCAAAATATTACATTGATGTTATTTATATAACAATAATATTTTACAGACAGAGGTGTTCCTTATCAATACTCAAAAACTAACTCTTTTTAGACAAGCTTTATAATAAAGACATTTGATAGATGAATTTAAACTAAGAGCTATTCAATAAAAAATATCTAGTGTATAAAAAACAACAAAATTGATGTCTGGTTTTATTATCATAGTGGGAATAATTTCTGTGTAACAAAAGAAATTATAAATGCAAAAATAAGAGCAAGTTTATTCAAATAAATAAATAAGGCAGATAGAGAAAGGAATTAAAATCTTAACAATTAAAAATTCAATTATGGACTTCTATTTAGCATGTGAAACATAAAATATTGGTGAATTGTTTTAAGTGTGAAAAACATACTACAATAGACTTTCAAAATGTTGGACTTGCAGAAAATTATTGATTTTCAATTTATTTTGGTCTCACAGAGGTAAAAAAAACAAAAAAATTAAAAAAAAAAAAAACAACTATATTTTTTATATTACTGCAATAAATACACTTGTTTTTTTTTTTTTTTTTTTAACTCAAAAACAAACTTTCTCATTTCTACAGGAACAGTATTAGTTTTTGTCCTCCAGGGCTCTATTCTTGGACCTACATTGTTTTTTATCTTAACAATCTTCATGATATCATCAGTTCCTGAATAGGTAATTATGCCATTCACACAACTAGACACTCCTGTGATAATAGTAAGTCTGCTAGGTTTGACAAAGTAAAACTGGAAGCTGCTCTGGAAAATTACCTCTGACAATACCAGACAATTTTTGTCACCAGAATACATTTTGTACATTTATAAATCTACCATTCATCTGTGCATTAAATATTGCTGCCATTATTTTTTCTCCTCAGTAATCTTCTCATTCTCTTTCACTCTCAATAACCCCTTGCATCTTAGTGGCATTATTGCCTTGCTTGGAATTGAAGCCAGGAATAACTTGTAAATTTTTACATCACCAAAATGAGACTACTATTGTTTAATCACCATAGAAAATCATTTTTGCCCTCTATCAGCATGGCTGATGCTAACCTCCAAGAGAGTAACTCATTGCACCATCTTGGTTTCACATTTTCCACTGACATGAAATGGAGTGATTTTATTGAATCAATTCCGAGGTTTGCTGCTAGGAAAGTTGGCTCACTGTATTGTACCAGACAATTTTTGTCACCAGAATACATTTTGTACATTTATAAATCTACCATTCATCTGTGCATTAAATATTGCTGCCATATATGTTCTAGTGCTCTGACTATATATCTTGAGATTCTCAGCAAAATCCAAAGAAGTGTGTGTAATGTTATTATGGTCCTGACCTGGCATCTCAACTTCAGTAAAATCACTGCCATGATGTGGCTTAGCTCTGTCTTTTCTATAAATATTTTCATGACAATTGTTCTAATGAATTCTCCTTGTTGCCTCAACTGCATGAATTTAAGTGTATGATAAGATTTGCAACTAGGTTTCATTGCTTTACTGTTAAAATATCTAGATGTAACCATAAATTCTATTCTAATAGTTTTTTTCTTGCCTGTGGAACATCCTTCCAGTTTTTTTGCTTCCCTACTAACTACAATCATCAAAAATTTAGACACACTGTCAGTTGTGATTTTCTGTCTTCCTAAATATTGTTCTTTTATTATTTTTTCTCCTCAGTAGTCTTCTCATTCTCTTTCACTCTCAATAACCCCTTGCATCTTAGTGGCATTATTGCCTTGCTTGGAATGAAGCAAATGAAAAAAAAAAGTCATTTTACCCCAAGCAAGATGACAATGTCACTGTTGTGTGTGACATATTGATTACTAAAGCCTTATATTATTTCTATCTCTGATCTTTAAATACATTTAATTAAACAGCAAGCATTTCAATGTGTAAGTGTGGTGTACAAATAATTATCATATGCTTTAAATAGGATGAAATAGATATTCCTATCTGGAAGAATGAAAAGGTTTATCACTTCTAAATATACAACAAAAATGAAACTTATTCTGAAAATGTATTTTAAAATTTTTTTCTAAAATTTGTAAAACTTTTTCTTGGTTTTTTTCTGACAGCACTTATGCAAACATAGGGAATAATAATTATTTATCTTCATTGAATTTTCTTAAAGAAATTTTATATTTGTTACACAATTGTTTGTTTTTTGTTTAAAATATTTTCTTAAAAGAAATCACAGAAAAATGTATATAGCTGCTCTTTATTTAAAATAAATCTTTGTAAAAAAAAATTAAAAAAACAAAACGAAAAAAAATTTTTTTTTACCAATGTTTAAAACATGAGAAAAATCACAAAAAAAGACGACATCAATGATGTGTGCAGTATCAAACTTAACATTTATAATTAAAAACAAAGTACAGATAACTCTTTTAACAAGTCAGAGATCAGTTTGACACTGTATTTATATAACAGGACCCTCTTCTAAAATGATAAAAAAAATATTAATATTTTTTTTATTGATTTATTTTTTATGAATTATCAACCCTTTATGGCTTATTTAAAGCTGAAAGATATTTTGGATTGTAAGAATAATTTTTTTCATTGCAGATCAATGTTGCATTAATACGTCATCACAGCTGGAATTTCTATGATGCCTGATGAGAAAAGAAGAACTAGAAAATTTAACACTCACAGGACATACTGAAAGCAATGGTCAATAGTTTTGGTCAATGAATGGCAGAACAAAGACAAAAAAGGTTCAGGAAGTTGTGAAGAACTATGATCGTCCACATCCTGAAAGGGTATGGCACATAAAAAAGAAGTGAATTTGATCCTCACTGGGTAACTTGTGCCAGAGTAAATTAAGCTTAGTAAATAACCATATATTAATAAATTTGATCACTGTCTACGCATGTATGGTGTGTGTAATTCTTTTAAAACTACCGAGCATATTGATCTTACAGTTAAAAGCTGGTTTACTACCCATAGATGTGTCAATGATATCAGTGAGATGAAAAATATTCAACCATTTCAATATTAAATAAGGTTCTAAATAAATTTGAGGAAGATTGGAATATACTTGCTACAACTATTATTTAACTACAGACCAATTTATATCACTTTTAACAATAGTAATGCATTGTAGGGTTATGTAGATAGTGTAATACAGTATGAAAAGGAGAATTGGTGATTTGCATTCAAATTATGACCTATTCTGTTGCATTCACTTTCACACAAATGCTTCTGGGAAAGGCATGGATCCATCTCTTTTATCCCTCAACTAGCTATGGGCCTAATAGTAGAGTAAACTGGGCTCTCTAGCCTTAGATGGTAACCAGTCTAGAAGAAGGATAAAAATGAATTTAAACCATGAGGAAGGAAATGGGAAACCATACCACTGTCTGTCCCAAGAAGTTATGGCAATTCAAAAATAAGAAAAGTAAGCTGATATAGCAAGTTAAATAGATTGAGTGGTTAATAAGGGTGAAAGCCTGAGAACTGTGCAAATGAATATGATTTAACCAGACAAACCAATATACACATAAAAATTATGTTTCAAAGAATGAAAAAAAAATTCTCTGAGACTTTGAGATTCCAAAAGATCACCTAATTCAGACCAGAAAACCAGATCCAATTATGAATAAGGAATAAATAATTAGAAGATTTCAATAGACCACCAATTGAAAGCAGGCAAAATACTGAGAAGACTGATGGAATATTAGAGAAACTTACTGTCACTTAATTTCACGTGGAATGCACCAGTTACTACTAATGTAAAAACTCACTAAGTTCCATAAAAAAAACAAAATTACTTTCCAGTAATTTCCTTCTTCATAAAAAAAAAAAAAACAGATAAAATAAAGATATTTCTTTAAAATACCAACTATGAAATTTCAAAGCAAAAGCATTAAGTCATAGTGAGTTTAATCTAATTGTCCTCAAATAAATACTTATGACTACTACTTCTCAACAATTTCTATTATCCATATCTCTACCCAGTTCTTCTTTTCTTCTTCCAATATTGTCTCTGAGTTGCTTGACAGTAGCAGACTGGGTTTAAAAATATTGGTTGCCAGGAGACAAATGGGGCCACCCACAACAACAATACTACCATTTAATTTTTATAATGAATAAATAACATTTTCAAAAAATACATATAAAAAAAAGAGGGTAAAATTAAAATTTCTGGGGAAAAATGTATATTTCTTAGTAATTATAGTGTACATGTACTATTCATATGATTAGCAGTAGATACCACATTTTAATACAGAATATTATAATTTAATATTTTTTTAAAAATTTTAATTGGTTGATATTTTTAAATATTTTACTGCACAATTTACATATTAACAGATAGTTCAAAGTACAATAAAGCATTGCATGCAGTCTACTATATTAAGAGCAATCATTAGTGTGCACTAGATGATTGTGTGAATCTGTCAATAACTGCTTCTGCAACCAATTCATCTAATAATTCTTTTTCAATGGATAGCAACATGTATGATTCCAAATTCTTTTCAGTGAAGATCTTAACCTTGTCTTTAAGATCTTTAGCTTTGAAAATGTCTTCTCACATTGGATTTGAGTAACTCATAGTGTGCAGATGACTTTATAAAGTTCTTATTCCTTTTTATTACTAAAACAGTTGTCTGTGTTTATTGCTTTATTGCATTTTTATTTGATATAAGGGGCCCACTTGCCATTGGGCATGCAGACACCTTGGCTAGGTTTCCATTGTTGCTTGATGAAGGTTCTTGCCGGTCCATCTCTTGATCTTTTCCCATAATTTGGTTCCCATAGTCTATAAGCTGATCCACAATTTCTTGTTTACTTCCCCAGCAATAATCAGTAAACTGCACTCACCTTTCACACATTGCATCCATAGTTCCTTGGGAGATTCCCATCTAGTTCTTCATTGGACACATCATGTTTCTAGCTGGCATTAAGCATGACTTTCAATAGTTGAACATACATAACATCTAGTTTTTTGGCCAGTGATTTTATTAATTTTGAAAGAGAAATTTTGTTAATGTTAAAAGTGAAATTAATTTTGGTATTCATTTTACTTACTTCGGATAGTAACACCTGAGTTTGTTGTTCCACCTTCTTTACAGCCTCATAGCGATTGCATTTGAAATATCCACCAGTGCTGGAATTATGACGTTTCCATTGCTCCAAACACACCCAACAAAAATCATGTTTGCACTAAAAGAAAAAAAAATGTCAACAGTGAAATGTGCCTGATAAGAGAATCCATACTTTTAAACATCTAAAATTAAAAAAAATAGCTAAATAAATTTTTTTTTATATATATATATATATATATATATATATATATATATATACACACACACACACACACACACAGATAGTAATCTGTTGGTATAATCCAGGCGAGTCTTATTATCACAACACACAATTTGAAATTTAAAACCGACTCACAAAGCGTGCTCAATGTTTATTTTCATTGAACAGAGCAAATTTTCTTTACAATTGGAATTAAGATACCTTTTAGCTAATGACCATTTTCACCTATGAATTTTAATTTTAAAATTCACAGGACTTTTTCAAACTGTTTATGGTATCAGTTTGTAGTAGGATACTCAAAATTAAAGAAATTTTTAAAATTAAAATTCATAGGTGAAAATGGTCATTAACTAAAAGGGATCTTAATTCCAATTGTAAAGTGTTTGTGTGTGTATGTGTATATATATATATATATATATATATATATATTAGATATATATAGATAGATAGGACTCACCTACTGCTTTCAATATATGAGTGTATAAGAACTCAATTCATATAACCGAAGAGCCAGAATATCCAGACATATGATTTGATTATATTGGTGAAGGCTTGTGCAGAACTAACTACACTTTTTGGAAGAATTGAATACAGAGAACTGATGCATATAGTGTTATCACAAGGTCTCTAAAAGACCCTTCTCAGAGTTTGAATTCAGAGTTGTCCTTCTAGACTGTTCCCATTTTCCCTGTTAGTTACCCATATCAGGTGGAGTGGGATTCATAACTTTCCCAAAGGTACTTGAACACAGGTTAATGTAACAAACTCAACTGGAATCCACACATTCATATATTTCATAAATAATTTAAAAAACAGATACACACACACACATATATATATATATATATATATATATACTTAGCAAATATCAAAACTTTTATGCGGCCTAGCATTTTTTCCCCGGTATATTTAACAAACATTTGTTTTTTGATGCAAATTCACCATAGAGCATTCCAAAATTAGTACACTTTTCTAAAAAGGAATTTGTGTGATGTAGGCTTGTAGTTGTTTTTTGGAGGTGGAAGTGAAGTGATGGATATTTAGAGGCATCTTTTATTATGTCTACTAACAGGTATGTTAGTGAATACATTTTTGGCATCCCAGTGTTGCTAATACACCATAGTGCACACACACACACACACACATATATATATATATATATATATATATGTGTGTGTGTGTGCACGTATAAAACTTCAGCTATAACTAGAAATATATCTGTAAAAGGACAATATGAATCAAAACAATAGGAAGACAGATCTTAGCCAATGCATTTCCTCTGATAGACTTTATCAAGGCAAGTGTAAAGATTTTAAAACAAGTATTTATAAACAAAAATCTAAATTCAAACATTTAGAATAACTAACAATGTTTTTACTTTTGTTTATAAATACTTATTGCAAAATAAAAACTCTTATTAAAGTTCAAAACTCTTTGGCTAAAATAAATTTGTCTTTGTTCATGTGTGTGTGTGAGTCTCACCTTGGAACATTTCATGTGATTACATCCTTCATTTTTCTGGATGGGTGATTTACAGTTGGGACATGGCTTAGAATTAGTCACCAACCAAAGACAATTGGCAGCAGCTTCCGTTTCCACTTCAGTGCCAGTCACTGAAACAAATACAACAGAGAACTAAACCACACAGCAAAAAACATGAATAAAGATTAGATTTTCATATATTCATAGATTATTGTCTTATCTCATGGACATAAAAATATGCAAATATCTAATTATATTAACAAAAATATTATCAGTGTTGCTTGAATTGAAATGGATTTGAACGGTAAACAATGTTAATGTTATTTTAAACTTTTGATAAATAAATCTCAGATCACAATTCTACAGCTTGTATTAAGTAAATAGAGCAGAAATTAAGAATAGCAAGACTTGAATTCCCATCCCTTTCCTTTGGAAGCAATTCTGATGAAACAGTTGCTTTACCATAATCAGTAAAGCAACTTTACAATATCTCTGGATAACACTAATTCAAATATCACCATATAGTCATTCATTATTTTCCATAACCATCCAATATGTCATTAACATATTTATATATGTTTGTAGTATTCTAGGGAATATTTTAACAGATGACAGAAATTGTGGTACAGAAATCTAAAGGTGCATTGTTAAAGTTACCTTCAAAAAAACTAAACAAATTATTAAAAGAAACATGCATATTTCATTAGAAACAAAGAAAAGAGTGCTGAACTACTATGTAATATCAATCCTCCTAATTTCCTCATAAACAAAGAAGAGAACTTAAGGCTGTATATATCTATATATTTCTAAACAATGTTATTTTTAACCCAATATTTTTATTAATTCAAGTATAATTTTTTAGTAGATACCCATGTTTGAAATAGATGATCTGTTTTTTTTTTGTTTTTTTTTTATTTTAAACATCTACTGGCCTTCACACTTGAGAAAACTTAATAAAGAAAATGTGCTCTCCAATAGATTTGAAGCTACGTCTTCCTTTGTTTAATCTGGTATGGCTACTTGGCCACAGAGAGCATCACAGCTCAGCCAGGTTCTATTAATCCTTCCTTGGTCAGATTTTCTCAAAAAACCCATATCTGCTCAATTCTATATCCAAAATGTAAACAAAGCAATTTCTAAAGAATTTATATATTTATAAATATATATATATATATATATATATATATATATATATATATTGGAAAACCTAACTATTGTAAGAAGACAGAGTGCATGGACATCAGCAGATGAGATAGCCCAACATGAGCACTGCAAAATCAAAGTATCAAGACAGAGGAAAATATTGTTAGAAACAAACACACAAAAACTGTACTTAGCTACTATGTAATATCTCATTTTTTTATATGGCAGTGAATGTTGGACAATTTCCTCATAGATGAAGAAGGGACTTGAGCAAGAAAGATTTATTTCTATTGAAAAATACAAAGAATACAATGGACAGGAGCAACGAGGATGTTTTAAAGAAAATAGCAACAAGGAAACTTATACTTACAATCAGAAAGAGACAACTTCTATTTCTGGCTCATATAATGTGGAAAGAGATCTCGGAGAATTTAACAGTCACAGGACATATTGAAGTTAAGAGAAGAATAGAAAAAAGTGAGTAACTAAATGAGCTGGTGTGAATGGATTTCAGAACAGGGATAGATTGATTTGTTTTTTATGGTTTATCAACCTTTTGCAGGTTATTTAAAGCCAGAAAATATTTTTAGATTGTAAGAATTCTTGAAGATAATGATTTTTACTGATACAAGTTCTACTAATTAACCAATAGCTGGGGGTAGAAGAGGTGGCTTCATATGTTTCCCAAAGTTATTTGCATGTAGGTGAATATTAGCACCTGTTATTCTCAAGTGGTCATCCATTTAGGTACTGACCAGGCTTTACATTGCTCAACTTTGGGGATAGTACAAGAATCAGCATTTCAACATGATATGGATATAAGTAACAAGGACAGAATGATGGTAAAAGGACAAACATTACTTAGAGTAACAAAAGATAGTAAGTTGTTTTTTTTTAAAATAACCTGTGTTCTGAAAGGGACTGGTACATAAAAAAAAGACTAACAGAATGGCACAATTGTATGTATATGTAAAGTATCAAGTAATAATCTTGATATCATGTTGACTTTGAAAGATAAAGAATAAACTATATGATGACCATGTAATGTTTATAGATTGTCAAAGTTGATCATAGTTTTTACATCCTTATATCAGATGTAATTTAAGTAGAATTTTTTGAAAGAGGAGAAGAAAAATGAATCCACAGACAATATCAGAAGACATGCTTCTTCCCTTTACCAGCAGAAGAGCTGAGAGAATGCTCTTTCACTCAGAAAAATACCAGTGTTAGTCCCAAACACAGATCAGGAGTGATTGGTTAATGACCAAGTATTATGCTTTCAATGCAAATCAGTAATGCAATCCCTATGCAGATTTTGCTAACAGTGCCACTTGCATTTTCACACTACCTTCTCCAAACAGTCAATCATAAATGAGACAGCTCTTGTTGGAGAAGGTATCAAGTGGTCAACAAGGGAGAAACTGATTGTTCCCGCTGCAACTGATTGTATACATGTCAGGGTCTCTTCTCCCACTTGTCAGATTCATTTTTACACACTTATTGTATTTGCATCATACATTTTGAAACATCTTTCATTTTTTTTTTTATTGTCCCCACATTTACTCCTCTTATTTAATCATTTCTTTTCTTCTTCTTGCCTTTTATCTTCAGTTTTCTTCTTTATATATATCATACTTATTATAAAACCCAGGTTGTGAGTGTGTGTGTACGTTTATATATTGGATCGGATTTCCTACATTTTTCAACCGATTTCAACAAAACTTCACAGGACTACGTAAAATTACCTTGTGGTGGTTCTGACAGCGCCAAAAATTGGAAAAACAATTGTTTTTGCATGAAATCAATTTGAAAACACGATTAAGAGGCATCGCTGTCGAGAATAAAAGGGGGACAACTCATATTGAGTTATACTTATTATAAAACCCAGGTTGTTTGTGTGCGTGTGTTCCTTTATATATGGGATCAGATTTCCTACATTTTTCAACCAATTTCAACAAAACTTCACTTTTTTTTGGCAGGTAGTGTTTCTTATTGTCTTGCACACTTTTTTCTTTATTTTTACATTCAGAATGCTTTAAAAATTCCATTTACAAGACAATTGTTTATAATAAAATTCTATTCAATCGGTAGACTCATAACGATTGAAAACAATGCTTATGTTTGAGTTTGGGTTTGATCAATTCATAAAGAAAAAAAAACAAAAAAAAAATAACTAATTAAGACATGCATGTCCATCAACCTTAAACAATAATCTTTGTCAATTTTATTTTTCAGTCTTTATGATGGTCAATACTTGATCAATACTGCTAGTTCTTTATATATTCTTTCACTTGAGGATTGTTATTATTTCTACTGATTCACCTCCTTACTATGCTTATATCAATATAGGCATTCATTAACTTCCTGTTAGAGAAAGTTTGCAGCACTTTCTTTTTCCAAAAGCAGAAATTCTTTGCTTTTTAGATGTATTCAAATAGGTAGCCATTTTAAAAAAGGATTATGGGTAGAAAAGAAGAAAATTTCAAAGATGTTTCATTCTGTACTTTTTAGACAATTTATGGTTTAGAGCTCAAAAAAAACCCCAAGGATGTCTGACTAATACTTTTAAAATTAAATTATAAAATACATTATTTTTTGACAAACATCATACACATATCATGCAATATACAGTCACAAGGGTGTAGGGATGTATTAAATCAACTCCTCATATGGTATTTACTAAAATTTATATGACCTGTTGTTAAAAAAATGTAAACTACAGCTTCTCCTTAGAAATAACTGACAAGCTTCTATAGAAACATTTTTCTCTTAAACACTGTATATGTATGTATGTATGTATGTATAACTCAGTTGTCATAAATGTTTACTAATATTCACAAAATTTCAAATTTGGAGGACCCAGTGAAATTTGAATTCAACACCCTTGAATTTGTCTGCAAGATGTGTTTTCTCTTCAATGCTTTTAAGTAGGCAGTCTAAATTTATAAAGTTTAATTTTCTATAGCACAAAGTTGTAAGAGTGGACCATCCAGTGTAAATTAAACTTACCACAGCAGCAAGAATAATCTATGATACTATCAGATAAACACTACTCTACAGCAGGTATCCAACACCTATTCTTAAACAAGGAGATGATGAAAAGTTCTCAGCCTGAACTATTTCTCAAACTGGCATTTCAATGGTGATTTTCTAAGCATACCTTAGACGTGGCACAAGGCTGAAAGTAAAGGAAACTCAGTGAGGATCAAACTCACTATTCACTCATAAGTGATCTAGTGAGACAAACTTGCTAACCATTACACCATGTCAAAGTGCCCCAAATTGGTATTTCAATAACTAAATATCAGAATGCTGATTTTGGGAGGTGGGATGGGCCAAGAATTTTTTTGGAACCCTCTCCTATATTGTATGTAAATAGAAATGAAGACATATATATAAACATTAACATTTACAAGTATACATATATAAACACACAGAAGCTCATATACCCGAAATAACATAAACCCAAGTTGAAACCCTGAAAATAACTTCTCCCCCAGTGGTTTTCTTTAACTAAAATTGATGGGGTGTGGTAAGCAAAAGAAAAGGCCTAGGGGCAATGAATCAGTACACACATATATGTGCGTATAAGTGTGTATGTATGAAATTGTGTGTGCATGTATACAAGCAACTAAGTGTATGTCTTAAGAAGAGACCAGAGTGAATATGGGAGAGAAAAATTGGGAGAGAAAAAAAAAAAAATATATATATATATATATATATATATATAGAGAGAGAGAGAGAGAATAGTGAAAGAGAGAGGAATATAAAAATAAAAATAGTGAGAGGAATAGAGAAAAATTTAGTAAGAGAGAAGCATAAAGTGAGAAAAATAGAGAGAGAGAGAGAGAGAAATAATGTGAGATGAACAAAGTGAGAGAAATAGTGAAATAGAAGAAATATAGTAAAAGAGGTAATAGAGAGAAAGAGAGAAAAAAGAACATAAAATGTACAGTGAATGGAGACAGAAAAATGAGAAAGAGGAATA